ACAGGTTTGTCACGGCGTGCCCGGAGAAATCCGGCGAGCGCAGGGACAGCGCCGGCACCCCCGAGCCCTCAGCACAGAGCGGCGAGGCTCCGGCACCCCCGAATCTTCGGCAAAGAGCCGTGAGGATCCGGCACCCCCGAGCCCTCAGCACAGAGCCGTGAGGATCCGGCACCCCCGAGCCCTCAGGGAGGGGCGGTGAGGCTCCGGCACCCCCGAATCTTCGGCAAAGAGCCGTGAGGCTCCCCCGAATCTTCAGCAAAGAGCCGTGAGACTCCGGCACCCCCGAATCTTCAGCACAGAGCCGTGAGGCTCCGGCACCCCCGAGCCCTCAGCACAGAGCGGCGAGGCTCCGACACCCCCGAGCCCTCAGCAGAGAGCCGTGAGGATCCGGCTCCCCCGAATCTTTAGCACAGAGCCGTGAGGCTCCGGCACCCCCGAGCCCTCAGCAAAGAGCGGCGAGGCTCCGACACCCCCGAGCCCTCAGCAGAGAGCCGTGAGGATCCGGCTCCCCCGAATCTTCAGCAAAGAGCGGCGAGGCTCCGGCACCCCCGAGCCCTCAGCACAGAGCCGTGAGGCTCCCCCGAATCTTCAGCACAGAGCCGTGAGGCTCCCCCGAATCTTCAGCAAAGAGCCGTGAGACTCCGGCACCCCCGAGCCCTCAGCACAGAGCCGTGAGGCTCCGGCTCCCCCGAATCTTCAGCAAAGAGCCGTGAGGATCCGGTACCCCCCAGCCCTCAGCGAGGCTCCGGCACCCCCCGAATCTTCAGCAAAGAGCGGCGAGGCTCCGGCACCCCCGAGCCCTCAGTGAGGGGCGGTGAGGCTCCGGTATCACCGAGCCCTCAGCGAGGCTCCGGCACCCCCGAGCCCTCAGCAAAGAGCGGCGAGGCTCCGCCATGCCCGGAGCCCTCAGCACAGGGCGACGAGGCTCCGACACCCCCGAGCCCTCAGTGAGGGGCGGTGAGGCTCCGCCATACCCCCGAGCCCTCAGCAAGGCTCCGCCATCACCCAGCCCTCAGCAAGGCGCCGCCAGCCCCCAGCACCCAGGAACCCGCAGCGAGACTCCGCCATCCCCCGAGCCCCCAGCAAAGGGCGGTGAGGCTCCCGCATTCCCTCCCGGGGCCGCCGCGCCGCCCTACGGCACGGGGAGCCCTCAGCGCCAGCATCCCCTCACGGGGAGCGGGTCCGGCCCGTTCCCGGCGCTCAGGGCCGGCATCCCCCCGGCTGCGCTGCCGGCCGCAGGGCGCTGCGTGGCCCCGCCGTGTCCCCGTTACCTCCCCGATCCCGCCGTGTCCCCGTTACCTCCCCGATCCCTCCGTGTCCCCATTACCTCCCCGGCCCCGCCGTGTCCCCGTTATTACCTGCCCGGCCCCGCCGTGTCCCCGTTATTACCGGCGCGGCTCCCGCCGCCCTCACGCTCCTGCGCGCGCTCC